TGTTATTTTAAGCCATCTAGTTTGTAGACTTCACTATAGCAACCACAAGAATCTAATGCACATTTGTCCAGCATCATCCGAGAGTTCCACACAAGTGGACTACCAGTGACCAGAAGCCTACCCTTCAAAGGACCAAAATTGTATTTACGTTACCTATTCATTTGGCTGCTAACCAAGAAGTCGGTGGTTTGTACCCACCAGCCACTGCGTGGGAGAAAGATGAAACAGTCTGTTTCCGTGAAGATATACAGACTTGGAAACTCTATGGGGCAGTTCTATTCTGTCCTATAGTCACCATGAGTCAGAATCGGCTCAACAGCAGTAGGTTTGGTTTGGTTTCTTGTTGTTGTGATTTTGAGTGAAATTTCACACTAATTTATTTGTTACCCACTTTGTGCACTCTTTCTAGAGCACACATTTTATCACTCCACTTAAGTAGCCCACTGAGGGCTTGCTGTGTGCAGATTTCCGGGAAAGGCTCTTTATTTGTTACATTGTTCCATCTTACCCACAGACCTATAGAGTTTGTTTGTTTGTCCTCATTTTATAGATAAGGGAATTAAAACTTACAGAGGTTCAGTGACTTGATCAGAGTCAAGTAGTAAAATAATAAAGCTGGTTGTTTAAACCCAACAGTGTGACTACAGTCTAATTCTTAAATCGTTGGCTCTTGAATAGCACATACAGGATGAGTGTGAACGTTTTCTCAATGATTTACCATCCTTGGTACAACTCTCAGTTACTGGGCTCTGTTGTGGCACAGATATGTGCCCTTACACGAGATGGTTCCTGATAACTGGACTTTTTTGTGCTTTTCTGATTTTTCCCTACCAGTCATTTCTTACTTTTCTGTAAACACCAGCCATCCATCCTTTCTGATACTAATCAACATCTTATTTTCTAGTTTGCTGATACTAATCTGCTCTGGACAGGAACCCCAGAGAATCAGTTTCTTTAGGATTTGATCTAAAATAAACTCAAAGAAAAGATCACTGCAGGAGCAACTGGGAGTATGATGTTCAGTGAGTGTATATTAGATGCTAAATTCTGAACACATATGCCTCATGTAATCTTCCCAACAAACCAATGGACAATTACTGTTATTCAGCCCAGTACACAGAGGAGGAAGCTAAGAGTAGAGCCAGCCTTCAAGTTAGGCAGTTTGGCTGCTGAGTCCCTTGTTTAGACCATGTTAGGCTGTCTCCATAGATGTGGGGGCATATACTTTCCTGTTTGGGGGCCCCTTTGCCTTCTCTTAGATTATAAGACAAAGCTCCTCATTCTATAGAAACGGAAGCCCAGAAGGAGCTCTTATTGCTCATGAGTGGCCAACTAAAACCCAGGCTCTGCTGTGTTCTCAGATCTGGTGTCAAAAATTGAGGTTTTAGGTACATAACCACCAAGAAACCTTGATGTGACTGTATGTAGAAGCATCATGTAATCCTGAACTTGACCATATATGTCTATCAATTACTGCCTAGTTCATGTTGAAAATTTCTCATAGCTCCAAACAGATGTGTCTTTTGAGTCAGAGCTCTGCCACCCATGTGTCTGGCATAGAGTCAGCACTCCCAAACGCTGACTGTTTTGGAAGGCTACAAAATACTGAATGTTTAGGGAGAAAATTCATCATGTGCCCCACTAGGCACCCAATCTCAGAGAAAGATGAATAAACATGCTTAGCTCACTGGTGATCCTGTGGTTTAAACCTTTTATACAACCAGTTGCTTTATTTAAGAGAGAAAAATAGTATGGGGGGGGGGGGCTATGGTGGGAAGGGAGATAGAGAAGAGAGTAGGAAAAAGGATTAATATTAAGGATTCTCTGGATTGAAATTTGGTTTGAGTTGGCTTTAAGTTGAGGGCAAATATGAACAGAACCAGAATTCTCACACCTTTTTAGTCACCATTAAGAATCCATGCGGTCTTATACAAATCATTTGCCTTTTGGAAAAAAGAAAGTTTTAGACTGGATGACAGTAAACGCTTTTCTGACTCTAAATCCTTTCTTCCTTTCCATTTTCTAACACACTCTGTATAGTTGGATGAGCAGAGAGCAAAATAAAGATAATCAAATCAGGAAGTCCATGAATTAAATTTCAAACTGAATGTCTGTGTAGCCTATTTTAAGCCCAATTCACACACACACAAAAAAGAACTGCACTTTGATTTTTTCTGCAATATACTTATTCATTAGAACCCCGCCCTCCAGAAGAAACAGCATTTCCTACTTTTCTGCTGTCTATATGTTTGATTTGCACAGCTGAGCTGGCCAGAGTGAGCTGCGACATCCGTTCCCCCTACAAGAAACTCTCCCCGGTAAGTCACCTCTTAGCCACTTTGTTAGTTAGCTTGGCTTCTGTGATGAGTAAAAACCCTAACAGGAAACCCATAGAAGATATTCGACAATGCCAGGTGTCCAAATAACTATCAGAAAATGTAATGTTTAAGATAAGGAATGGTTCAGAATTTGGAATGAGTTTCTGTCTGTGATAACATCAGAGGTACAGGACATGATCTCAAATGAAGGGAACAAAATTATTTAAAAAAAAAAAAAAAACCCTCATCTCTCAGTAGAAAGATTTTTAGAGAGATGAATCTTGGCTGAAATTCTGGCAGACTGTCTTCTGCTAAATAGAACTAAAATCTTTTCCATGGGATGGTGTCTGAAGGCTTACATACCAAAATTGTCTCTAAACCTGTTCTTTTCTTTTCCAAGAAAAGGGAGAAGGCTAATATTTGCCCAAATTAGTATCAAATTACCAAAAACAAGTTCTCTTTAATATATCAGTTCCAAAGCAATATTTTGTGGATGATTCTCTTTCTGGCTCAACATTTAAAGGTTGATTTTTTTTCTGGTCACTTCTCCCAGCTGCCTAATCTAATGAAATATAGAGAACTTGCGACTCACTAGGACCAGTGAGAGAAAACTCTGAGCTAAAAAAGTTAAATTTTAATGGACTAGCAAGCCAGATGGTTGTGAAGGGAAGAAATTAACCCAGAATGTATGATACTTGCCTGTGGTAGTAGATGAGAATGTTTCCTACTTGGCCATTTCATGTATATTTCTAAGGGCTATTAATTGTGGCAATTCAGGAAAGACAAACAGGAACCCCAGAGAAAAGGGTGAGATAGCAGTCTGGATTTTACAAATAGTTGCTTTCTAAGACTTTCTCCTAAGACTTGGCCATTTCAATATGACTATATTGAGGCACCAAGTTCAGGGTCCCAAGAGTGAGAGGCAAAACAGTATGGTGGTGAAAAGTGTCGGCTGCCTGAGGTCAAAATTGGTTGCTGACTAGCTGTGTGACTTTGAGCAAGTTACTCACCCTCTCTGGTTTTTGGGGTGGTGGTGGTAGCCAGTCCTTGTCTGCAAAATGGAAACAATAATGTTACCTGCCCCATAGGATGGCCTTGAGAATTAAATGAATGAATACAAGTGAAGCTTAGAGCAGTGACTGTGTACCTCCGGTCATGTTAACAGTAGTACTGACCTGCTCACTGTCCACTCAAGTGGCATAACTCCAGGGAAGTAGAGATTGTAGTTTCTTGACTCAACTTGTCTCAGGTTCTTGAAATTAATGTCAGAGCTTCACTCCAATTGCTATAGAAAATCAACAGATTAAATTTAGTGAGATGATGCTTTTGTGCATTTTCCCAACAAGCTGAGCTCTCCATCTAGTGAACAACACAGAGAAGCCAGCAGTAAACCTTCCTTTCACTGCAAATATTCAGCATTTGGCCAAAAAAGGGAGTTCAGTTAAACGTAGAAATCTACATACCAAGTTAAAAACATAATGCATAGCACAGTCTGTATTTATGGTGGACCACTATGTACAAGCAAACCTATTGCCATTGAGTTGATAGCAACTCAGGACAACCCCGTATGTTGCAGAGTAGAACTGCTCCATAGAGTATTCTTGGCTGTAATCTCTACAGAAGCAGATAGATCCCAGGCCTTTCTTCTGTGACACTGCTGGGTGGGTTCAAACCGCTAACCTTGATGTTAGTTAAAAATAAATAAATAAATAGACCAAATTCACTGCCATCGACTCAGATCTGACTCATAGCGACCCCTCCTTGGGTTTCCGAGGCAGTATCTCTACATAAGTAGATTGACCAACCTTCCTTCTGAGGAGTGGCTGGTGGGTTTGAACAGCCAGCCTTCTGGTTAGCAGTCAGATGCCTTAGGCACTACGCCACCAGAGCTCCCTTTATGTTAGTTGTTGTTGTTGTTGTTGTTATGTGCCGTCGAGTCGGCCCCGACTCATAGCAACCCCTCCTTGTTAGTTGTTGTTGTTGTTGTTATATGCCGTCGAGTCATACCTGACTCATAGCGACCCCTCCTTGGGTTTCCGAGGCAGTATCACTACGGAAGTAGATTGCCCAACCTTCCTTCCGAGGAGTGGCTGGTGGGTTTGAACCGCCAGCCGTCTGGATAGCAGGCAACTGTCTTAGCCACTATGCTACCAGAGCCCCTAGACAAGTGCAAATCATTTGCACCACCAGGGATCTAAGTACATGCATTGTGATGTTGTTGTTGTTAGTTGCTATCGAGCAGATTCCAACTCATGACGACCCCACGTGTACAGAGTAGAACTGTGCTTGATAGGGTTTTCAAGGCTGTGACCTTTCAGAAGCAGATTACCAGGCACATCTTTGAAGACATCTCTGTGGGTGCATCCAAACCACCATTCTTTCGACTGGTAGTTGAGAGCTTAACCATTTGCACCATCCAGGAACCCACATACATTCTCTCAAATCAAACCCACTGCAATCAAGTCAATTCTGACTCATAATGACACCCATTGGGTTTCCAAGGCTATAAATCTTTATGGAAGCAGACTGCCTCATCATTCTTCCCTAGAGCAACTGGTAGGTTCGAACCATCAACCTCTTGGTTAGCAGTCAAATGCCCTAGGCACTACGCCACCAGAGCTCCATATACATTCTAAGACCTTATAAAAGGTGACTTATACTTTATCCACAGGATTAAACAAGATGGATTTTGAAACATCAAGTCCAGCATACGACTACTTTGTCGATTATGGTGAGTCAGAGCCCTGTCAAAAAATTGACGTGAGGCAAATCGCAGCCCAGCTCCTGCCCCCACTCTACTCGCTGGTGTTCATATTTGGTTTTGTGGGCAACTTGCTGGTCGTCCTCACCCTGATAAACTGCAAAAAGCTGAAGAGCATGACTGACATCTACCTGCTCAATTTGGCCATCTCTGACCTGCTTTTTCTTCTCACCCTCCCGTTCTGGGCCCACTATGCTGCAAGCCAGTGGAGCTTAGGAAATAGAGTATGCCAGCTTATGACAGGACTCTATTTTATAGGCTTCTTCTCTGGAATCTTCTTCATCATCCTCCTGACAATCGATAGGTACCTGGCGATCGTTCATGCTGTGTTTGCTTTACGAGCCAGGACAGTCACCTTTGGGGTCGTGACAAGTGTGATCACCTGGGTGGTGGCTGTGCTGGCCTCCCTCCCAGGAATCATCTTTACCAGATCCCAAAAAGAAGGTCCTCGTTGTACATGCAGCCCTCATTTTCCACCCAGTCAGTATCATTTCTGGAAGAATTTCCAGACATTAAAAATAACCATCTTGGGCCTGATCCTACCACTGTTTGTTATGGTCGTCTGCTACTCAAGCATCCTAAAAACTCTGCTTCGGTGTCGAAATGAGAAGAAGAAGTACAAGGCCGTGAGACTCATCTTTGCCATCATGGTTGTCTATTTTCTCTTCTGGGCTCCTTACAACATCGTCCTTGTCCTGACCACCTTCCAGGAGTTCTTTGGTCTGGACAACTGCAGTAGCTCTAACAGGCTGGACCAAGCCATGCAGGTGACAGAAACTCTTGGCATGACGCACTGCTGCATCAACCCCATCATCTATGCCTTTGTCGGGGAGAAGTTCCGAAACTACCTCTTGGTGTTGTTCCGAAAACACATTGCCAAACACCTCTGCAAATATTGTCCATTCTTCCAGCGGGAGGGCCCTGAGCGAGTGGGCTCAGTTTACACTCGATCCACTGGAGAACAGGAAATCTCTACAGGCCTGTGAGCTGGACTCAGTCGTGCGCATGGCTCAGTCACACTCAGCCTGTGGATACAAGTCTCTTTCAGAAGTGAAGTTACTGTCATAGAGGACCTGACAGTCATCCATCTCTTGGACATAGTTTAAGGCCATCCATTCCAGGATGCCTAATCAAAATATGTTGATGAAATAGCAAGCTTCTCAACTCCCCTCCACATACATCTACCTATTGGCAAATCTTCCTTCATTTCAAAAGTTCGTTATAAACAAAACAAACAATATCCTTAGGGAATTGCTGATTCTTGAGTTTGGTTACCTGTAGAGGAATGACAAAATTAATCAAGAAATATATTGTAGTGTTTTTACCTTGCATAGGCCAAAATACAGGTTTTAAATGTGCTAAACACAAGGTCCTGGTCCTGCCTTGGGGAGACAGTCATAAATACAAGAGCTGAGGAACAACAGCTGCCACCTGGCTGATTTCCCCCGGAAGGTATACACAGGTGTCTAAGGTATGGCAGGTCTGGCTTGTGCCAGGGGCACCACTTGAAGGGGAGTGCCGCTGAACAGTCCCTATTAACCATCACAGTTTCTATCACCAGCTGTGAGAGATCATTCAGCAAGTTAAAACTAGTTGCTTTTGTGTTTGACAGCCTCCATGGGTTGCTATAGACTGTGTCATCTTGCTCTGCTGAGTGTTGAGAGAGGAAATGACAGAGCCCATTGTAGAGCACTTTTTATCCATGAAAGCAAGGAAGGTGCAGTTGTAATTTTCATGTAGTGCCAAAAAGAAAAAAAAAGAAAACATAGACCCACTGCCATGGAGTTGATTCTGACTCATAGTGACCCTATAGAACACATCAGAAATGACCCATGGAGTTTCCAAGGCTGTAAATCTTTACAGAAGCACACTGCCTCATCTTTCTCCCACAGAGTGGCTGGTGGGTTTGAACCACTGACCTCTTGGTTAGCAGCTGAATGCTTTAACCACTGTACCACCAGAACCTTCAAGTAGTGCCATAATGTGTTAAATAAAATATCAATGAGCTTGACTTGTATGTTTGAGCTGACATTATGGTGAAGTTATCTAAAAGATGGGTGTCAGATATTTGGACAGGGGTGCAATTTCAGTGCTTGCCATAGGTGCTATTTTCTGTAGACAGACCTCTGGGTTTATAAAGTTCTTAAACTCCATGGGAGTTCAGAGCCAGGGGAACGCTAACAGCCTGGTGAGAGCTGGGAAGACATATTAACGAGGAGGAATTTGAGTTGGTTGGTGTGTGGTGGAGAGAAAAACGGTGCTTCAGGCTGAAGTCTCTGCAGGGGCAAAGACTGGCAAGGTAAGACATGCAGCTGGTCGAGGGATCCCCTGACAGGAAGGTCAAGGCTGGATCACACTCCATCAAAGTCTGTGAACAGAGGAGGGACATGTGACCAGTGATGCAGAAGGTACATTACATGGCCAGAGGATGCCCTGGCAAGAAGCCCCGCAACACTCAGGCCAAGATGAGGAGGGGTCCAGGAAGATGGAGGTACTGGGGCTAAGAAGGAGGGGGTATTTGTGCAGTACTTAGGATGCAAGAGTCAGCAGGTCTTGGGGCAAATTCAGGTTGGAGGTAGGGGGCAAAGATGAGACAGAGAGAACCCCTAGCTTCCAGAGTGCAGGTTGGAGATGCCTTTAAGGAGACATCAAGCGTGGATGGGAAGGAGGATGTTGAGGTCAAGATGAAGAAGGATTGTACTGTAGGAGAATGAGTTGTTTGGTGAGCTTAAATCCAGCTTCCCACAGGGAGACTTCCAGTGCCCCAGGCCTTGCCACCCCAGCTCAGAGAATGAGGCATCACAGGAATCCATGTAGCCCTAGATTTATGAAGACGGGAGCCTGAGGTCTAAGGACATATTTTCAGTCAGATATGAGATCCAGGTGAAGAATGATTACACATGATATGGATTCAATTGTGTCCCCAGACAACCTGTGCTAGAATCCTAACCCTGGGATGTAAACTCATTTGGGAATAAGGTTTTCTCTGTTATGTTAATGAGGCACATCAGTGTGGGATGTGTCTTAAACCTACTTTTGAAACAGAAAAAAAGCAGATCAGACACAGAGAAAGCAAGCAGGGGAGGGGAAAAGATAGAGACCACATGGCAATCACCACAGAAGGAGGAAATGCCAGGGCTGGAGAAGCTAAGACAAGGACCTTCCCCAAGAGTGAACAGAGAGAAAAGACCTTCCCTTGAATTCAGATATATAGCCTCCTAAACTGTGAGAGAATAAATTTTTGTTCATTAAAGCCACCGACTTGTGGTGTTTCTGTTCCAGCAGCACTAGAGAACTGAGGCACACAGTTCCTTAATTCCAGAGGTTTATAAGCTCTTAGGAAAGAATCATCCAAGGGTTGAGGGAAGCCAGGGTGGCTAAGACTTGGCCTACACAGAGCACACCAGGGCAGCAATCATTTTCTAGAGTCAATATCCAGAAACAAAGGGGAGAAGGAACACAGTAATTTGAAAACAGACTGCCTCAGTTCTATAAACCAAAAAGAATACACTGTACCAACCTCTGTGTTTCAGGCTGACTGTAAGCCTTCTAGCACCTTCTCCAGACAGATGGTGAGATGGTGCCCAAACACTAAGGGGCTCACTTGTTGGGGGGAGGGGAGGGACGACAAAAAATTATTCTTCTTTCTGCAGTTGCTACTTGTATAACTTTGTACATAACTGAAATTGTTTTGAGCTTTTAGGTACCCACTACAATACAGATTAGGTGGGGAAACAAGAGTGACAATTGCTCAGAGAATTAAAGGTGTTGAAAAAATTGTTGTTGTTGTTGTTATGTGCCGTCGAGTCGGCCCTGACTCATAGCGACCCCTCCTTGGGTTTCCGAGGCAGTATCACTACGGAAGTAGGATTGCCCAACCTTCCTTCCGAGGAGTGGCTGGTGGGTTTGAACCGCCAGCCTTCTGGTTAGCAGTCAAGTGCTTTAGCCACTATGCTACCAGAGCTCCCGTTGAAAAAATAGGAGGTGCTATTTCTCAAGCTCTGAAACATGAAACTCGAGGGTGGTGGCTGTCTGTGTGAAGGGCATGGAAGTTCTTTTTCTTTGTTCTTGAGGTGGCTGAGAGTCATAACTGGTATATGACCTCCACCTCTGGGTGAATTCAAAGGCATTCTGGTATCTTTTTTATCTGTGTGTACATTCTTATGTATATATAAAGTTACAAATTGCTTGAAGGAAAATATACATCTCATAAAAATCAACTTCTAAGAATAATTCATTGTGTTCTTTCTTTTACTCACTTGTACATTTAGAGAATAGCACATAAAAAGTTAGCAAAGGTTTTGTAAGTCCCAAATTGTCAACAATCACTTTAAACACAAAGATGAGGAGATAAGGGAGCAGGAAAACCAGATTGCTGGAAATGGAACAACCAGAACAGAATTAATGAGAATGTTCACACATTGTGAAGACTATAACCACATCACTGAACAATTTGAGTAGAAATTGTTGAATGGGAACCTAATCTGCTATGTAAATTTTTACCAAAAACATAAATATTAATTTTTAAAAACAAATTTTAAGTAGCTGTTTTGGAAAACTTCCTTGGAGGGGGGAATATATATAAATGTATGTATGTATGTATAACTCTAATTATATAAGTATATAATACATATACAATTATAATAGAATATATAATTATGTAATATATAGTTATACAATGTAGTTCCTTTTAAATATTTTTTTAAGTTCTCTTTCCCTGAGACAAATTGCCAGAATCATTTGTATTTAAAGACACCTCTGAAGATGTGAGGTTTCTGAGAAATTTAACCTGAAAACTTTTTAATTTCAAATTTAGTTCTTCTAGAGCTCTTTTTTTGTTTGTTTAATTAAGCAAAAGAGATGACATGTTTAAAGAAAAAAGTGAGAACTGATGTGTGTCTAAGAATACGTCATTTGTCTATGTTGGAAAATGAAGAAGCCAAGTATTAAAGAAAACAGGAACATGAGTTGACAGATGCTTCTGAGCGTATAGGAATTGTGGATGTGAATCTTAAAAAACTGAGGTACTGACATATTTGCATGGATGACTTCAGACTTAAATTAAAACTCCATTTTGAATTTAAGTCAGATTTTCATTTCTGCTTTTCTAAAGAAACCATTTAGTCTTTTTGTCAAAGTTTTATTGTTTGAAAAACAAAGAAGGCAAAAGTTAGGATTTCTAAGCTAGATAAAAGAGTTCCTTGATGTCTGTTGAAAGAGTTTTTTCAGCTGGCAGAGGGCATGTTGGTCAGCAAGAGGTGAGAAATAGAACTGATTATGTTAAATGATGTTGGAACTTAAAAATAACTTTGCAGCTATGATAGATACATATCAAGTCTTAGTCCCAAATGACTTTCCCACTCATTAGGATTTCCCACTATGTGCCTACTAGTCCCTTGTAAATCTGTAACTAAGATAAAGAAACTGACTTCAGATGTGACAGAAAATGTAACCCCTGAATGAATGCTTTGTTAAACAACTCTCAGGATGTAAAAGCGCACAGGATATAATGGATAAATTTGCTGATAATATTTAACTTTGTCACTTTTGTCATGCTTCCTCCCCCACCCTCTACCTGCCTGTGAGCACAAATTCTTTTAAACCCAGTTCTGCTAGTGTAGTGGTTAAAGCATTTGGTTACTAACCACATGATCAGTGGTTTGAACCTACCAGCCACTCTATGGAAGAAAAATGAGGCAGTCTGCTTCTGAAACCCAGTGGGTGTCACTATGAGTCGGAATTGATTCTGTGGCAGTGAGTTTGATTTGGTTTGGAGTTCTCCTTGCAATTCAGAGCATTGCAACATCTTGCATGGATGTCTGTAACTGTCTCTCCATTTCAAAATTATTTTATTCCTTCAATAAAGTTTTTTTCTTTTAATTTCTAGTGAAGTGTCAATCTAGTGTTTACCACTAAGAACATTCACAGAAGTCTCTGGCCATTATGAAATGCATCCAAGGACAGATAAAAAGAGATAATATAGAGA